ATAATCATCATTAAGAAAAGAAAAGTTGTCCTTATCCTCTTTTTTATTAATTGAAATCTATTTGCTTCGCAGCAAAAAAAAAAAAAAAAAACCCATGTCCTCTGCTCTAATAGAGAATGTACCGATTGAAAATCTAACTATCAAACTTGGTATATCAATTCTCCAAAACTCTGAAAAATTATCAACCAGTTCGACAAAAACTCATGAAAGAGTACAAAGAATTTCATGTCAGATGGAAAAGATAATAACCAGGAAAAGAAGGTTATGAAATCATAGGCTTCCACTAGGAAAAACAAACTTGAACTTGGAAACAATCTGTGCTGGGAAGTTTACACATTAGTATGATCGAAAACCACTTCGGTAGTGAATTGTCTCTGCCATCTTTATCTCCGCTGTTCTTGTTTCCGGCTGGCCTTGATGGTTTTTAGAGATATTTGATAATTAAAAATATGATGATGGTTCTCTAAGAAACTAAATCACTATCACCGTAAGCATACACTCATTTGTTTATTATAAGTTGTTTTTAGAGTTCTTTCCTTTCCTTTCTTTGAGTGTTGTAGATGTTCTAGAATGAAAAATGTTTCCTAAACAATGAGTTGAACTTGTAATGATTTGCATGTACAAGTTCAAGAAAATGATTTTTTCCTTTTAGATATATTTTATCCAATCTTCAAAAGATGGATCTTTTCGAGCGTGAGGAGACCTAATCCGCTGCTCCAAGTAAACCCTAGAAGTCTCCGCTCCCGCCGCTCTCACTATTCAGTAAAAGTATCAGTCTCTCTTGCAAGTGAATAAATGATGTCCAGCGACCGCTTATTTTGGCATCCAACGGTTATTCCAGCAATGGAAACTCATGGCCCTGGCTTGAAGTGGATTCTCTTGCGTTCTTGTAGTTAAAGCATCTCTGCTTCTTAGATCTACATCTGTGGTTTTGGGATTATCGTATGTTGCTTGAAGGAATGTAGGCCAACTCCTCAAGTCTCGTCGGCTTCACCTAGCCATTAAAATTTTGAAAGAATACGATCCAATATAGATCAGTACCGCCTTCGGTCTGAAGGCGGTACTTTGGGAGCATACTACAAAAGATTAAAAAAATCCATGGTTGCCCTTCGTTTTTGTATATGGTGAACACTCTGCTAGGATTGATCAAGTTTTGTGTCCTCTGGGAGTGGATCTACTCAACCTGGATGCACTTGCTGTTAAAGGAGTTGCTGTCCAAGGAAACGCTACTGAAGGAGCTGCTGATGGAGAAGGGTTTGTTCATGAAGAAATTGTTTGAGTTGAAGTTGTTGATCATGTTTAGGATCAAATTAACCAAAGGGTGAAAAATTTGAATTTAAATATATGTAGAGTTTAATTTCAACTGGTCACTTATAGTTGAATCAAGGACTTAACTAACATGGCTGGATTAATGTGTTGGATGGACGTTTTTAAATAACCGTGTATGTTTAAACATTTGCCGATTAGTATTGTGTGACATGGTATGGAGGCTTTTACATAGCGATGTATGTTTGAAATTTGTCATTTAGTATTGCATGATTTTATAGCAAAAAAGAAAAGATCTTTTCGAGCCTCTGTATTTGAAGAAACCATTTCCGGAGGACTCAAATTTTCAATATGGAGACATTATTTGGTTCAAAGGATATTCTATCTGATACGAACATCCCTGCACATATCGATGTCTGGATAGACCAATATTGGAGAAGTACTTAACAAATAAAGAGACCGTTCACTTTCAATCAAGTGGATCTAGAAAAGGTTTTGAATACGATAAGCAAAACTTTTATAAATGCCTATAAAAAAACCACATTTTATGTAAGTATTATGGAGACTTACTCGGGCATTTAAGTATTACACTGACATGGAATATGATCACCCCTAAAAAATTACTTTGTAGAATCCTGTCTAAGACATCGGTATATGTTATTGATCTATAACGAGCATGAGAATTTGAAATCATTGAAAATATTGTATGAACAAATAGATGAAACTCCGCTTAGTTTTTTGGATTGATAAAAAATGTGATTACACCTATTGGCAAAAACGAGTCTTTGAACATGTTGGAGGAACATAACTTGACATTGGCAAACCAACCTAGCGTGACATTTGTTGACTTGATTGATGAGATTAGATGCCAAATTGAAGGGTTGCATCACTCAAACATTAGGTTGATTTACACTTAATTATCACAAAAATACCATAAGTTGGGATTTCGTCTTTACTATATATCTCAAGTTCAAATTGTCTTTATTAAATACCATAACTTGAATTTTTGTCTTTTTTCACTTTTTCATCCAAAAACCATTAAAATTTTAACGGTCAACTGGTCAACTGTTAACTTGTCAAAAGGGTAATTTTGTCTTTTAAATAAAAATAATTCAAAACAAAATTATTTTTCGAGGGTAGAAACAACAAAAACTAATTTGAAAATTAAAATTAAAAAAAAACAGACGGGGGCAATGAATCGCGCAATTTCTTTGTCGCTCTCCTAAGAAAAAAGAAAGGGGAAAAAAAGGACTGGAATGGAAGAAAAAAGTACGAACCTTATTTTTCTAAATAATGATGATGGTGACGGTGATGATGCCATTGTTCATATATGATGAAGGAAATATGTGAAAAAAAAAAAGAAAAGGCATTTCGGCCGGCGCACAGGAATTTGGGGATTTATATAGATGTTTGAATACCAAGATTGAGGGTTGCACAATCGTTGGTAACCGTCAATTGGAAAAGGAGCAAGAGGAAAAGGAGCGACCGAGGTACGCTAAAGAAAGCGAGGCGGCACGTCGACGGAGAAAGTGAGGATTTTGGGAGATGTTGTTTTGGTGGAGCATTAACATCCAGGGCACATGGGTCCAACCAAAACAAATGAGCCTAAAACTTAAATTGGTATTGGGAATTTTATAGATATACTTAACTTTTATATTTTAAGTTTGCATAATTTTTTTTATCATTGTAAGTTTTTACTTTTTTTTCTTTTTAATATTAAATTACTGATTTATATTACTTTCGAAGCAGATTTTAATATTTGTATGTTGAAAATTGGAATTAAAAAAAAAAGAAACTTCACTTCAACGGTTAAAGTCATGTTCGTATGGTTGAGTTATTAGACTTCTATTACAAATTATTAAAAAATTATGCCCTATTTATTAATTGTTATATATAGTCTTCACTGTTTCTTATCCAAATTTTCCCTAAAGTTCAAACTCTTGAGTCATTGATCAATTTTAATAGTTAAATGATTAACATATATTCTCACTTCTGATATGAGATTCGCTTCTTAATTTGGTCGATTGGTTTAAACGATCTCTTCCGTCATAGATAAAATCCATTTTTATGTTTATGTTTATGTTTCATAGTGAGTGATTGACTTGAAGTTCAACCCTCAGATCACACATTTTGTTAGGAATTTAATTATCTTTTTTGAATCTAGTGTTTGATCTTGAATCGAGAGCATGCATTTCTTTTGGGTGCTTTCCCCAAAAAATCTTGTTCAGTTAGGAGAAACAAGAACTATTTTTTTTTTTTAACATTTTCTGGGCATATCGGATTCGGAAAATTCGTTTTCCTAATTTAATTAGTAAACTGGAATCTCAAAAAATTCGAATTTAAATTTTCTATTAAAATATTATTTTCATATAATTTTAATATTATTTTCCTGTAATTTCAAAAAGACAGAAAATTAAAAAACAAAATTGAATTTCTAATATCCGATTTATTTTAAAACTTAAAAAAAAAAGAAGAAAACAAATCGAATTCCGGGAAAATCCAGCTATTTTACGCGGGAAATTTTTGAATATAAATCGGATTCGACAAATTCGATTTATATTTATTATGGTAGATTAAGTTAGGCAAACATAATAAATAGCAACGGGTTCTAAAAATCTGACTTAACTAAAATCGGATGCTAGAAATCTGGTTTAATTTTGAAATCATTTTCCTCAAATCCGTTTTCTTTAAACATGGATTCTCAGTTTCCGTTTTTAGTTTAAATGGGATTTCTGAAATCCGGTTTGTGTTTATTATAAAAGAATGAAAAACGGGTTTCATTGTTCACAATCCGAAATTTTGTCGGGTTCTTTGTTCAAGAGGGTTCTTTGGGCGGCAAATTGAGAATCTTCTCCAAGGATTATCGAAAGTAAAGTCTTGAATCGTCATCAAAAGGAGGTTAGTGATGATTCTTATGGTTTTTGAATAGAATGAGTGATATTTTATGTGATTCATATGATTTTCATAGAACCATTGTTTATAGTCTATGGAAATTTTAATTTTTTACCATTTTGTACAAGAAATGTGATGTTTTATGCAAAATGTTATGGTTGATTTGAGAATGTATTGATATGCACATGGTATTAAAGATGACGAAGGTTAAATTTTGTGTATTTTTGAGATTTTAGTCTCTATAATGGTTAATGTATTGTTGTAGATAAATAAGGATGTTATGTAAAACCATTGTTGATTGGTTTGAGTTTAGGGTTTAATTAGGTGTTGTTTGTTTAGAATGAATTGTTGAATTGTAGGAGTTTAGGGTTTAGTGTGTTGTTTCTTTGTGTTTAGGGTTTAGGTTTATTCAGATAAAATTATTCACAATATTTGACAAATGATTGTTTGTTTAATCAACAGATGTAAATGGCGTTTAACTGCCCAAATATTTTGAATTTGTGTCGGACAAGTAAGTTTGTTATAGGGAATGAGGTTATTAATACTTTTAATAACTTGGTGGATGCATATATGGTGATTGAGCGTAGATTATCTTATAATGAATTGGTTGGGAGGATTTGTAAAAGAGCAGGGTGGGATAGAGACATTGGAAAATTGAATGTCATTATTGTTTGATAGTAGCGGTAACGGTTCAAGGCGTTACGCTACAATCAAGGACTAACAATCATTAGAAGCCTTGTATTTTCTTTCTGGAAGTTCATGGTTGGATTTGTATGTGGATACAGAGATATTAGAGGGCATGGAACCCGACAAGCAACGCGCATAGTAGTGGTTCACGCCGAATGGGGACGGGTACTTCTCTGTCCCATGTAAAAGTAGGGATTAGTCGGGATGGATCGTTGTTTGAAAATCCAGCTAATAAGGATTGCATGGAAGACCACAGTGATCCGGACTACGAGGACTACACAGCAGGAAGTTATCATCTAGAGGCAGGGACGAGTCGTGGTAGGGTTGTGTTTGAGAACCCGGCTAATGAGGATTATATGTATTACACTGATCCGAATGATTCGGCCTACACAGTAGGAAGTGGTGAAAGCGAGGAAGGGCTTGAAGTGTCTTCAGAAAGTGATAATAGCGGTTATGAATCAGAGAACTTTGAAGAAGAAGAGTTAGAAACTTCCGTACCAGGGCGGCACATATACCGCGAAATGGGCAAAGGGATCCATCCAGTGTTGACAGAGATGAATTCAGTCTTCCTAAGTGGGATGGGACACCTGATTCCATAAAGTTAGGCACTTGCTTCAAGAATAAGAAAGAAGTGCAGGATGCTATAAAGGCGTGGAGTGTTTCAAGACGGAGGGAGTATATGGTTAACGATAGTGACGGGAGAACATGGGCTGTGGAGTGCAAATATCTAAAACACCCTCTTGTTGAAGGTTGTACTCCATGTTTGTGGCGGATTCATGCCACGTTGAAGGACTACGGGTTGTGGGAAATAGTGAAATGGAGCAATGCACACAATTGTTTGAACGCCACAAAAAAGAATAATCATCGGAATATGAGTGCTTCATTTATTACTCAGCTCATCAGGTGTAAGGTTAAAGTCAACACGGATTATAGTGTCACGTCAGTTCAAGCCCATGTGAAAGATATATTAGATGTAGATGTTAATTACAAGAGGGCATGGCGCGGAAGGCAAAAAGAGATCGAGCTTGTTTATAGCGATTGGGTCTCAAACTTCGTGGTTCTTCCAAGGTTTTTTTTTTGTGTGTCTTTATGCGTATGTTAGTATTTCAAGATTGTTTGATTGTGTGTCATTGATTACATTCTATTTTATTTATCGTTTAGGTATTTCGCAGCACTTGTAAAGAGCAATCTTTGCACAGTGGTAGAGTGGGAGTGGCAAAAATATTAGACCAGAAAGAAAAGACATTCAAATATGTCTTTTGGGCATTTAAACCTACTATTGATACATTTAAGAAATGCACCCGGTTGTTAGTATTGATGGTACGCACTTGCGTGGAGGCTACAAGGGGAAGTTACTTGCCGCGATGGTCAAGACCGCGAATAAACGTATATTTCCAATCGCGTTTGTGCTCGTAGATAAGGAGATCGAGGAAAGTTGGACATTCTTCTTGAAACATTTGAGATACCGGGTCGTGAAGGATAGAATTGTTTGTATTATATGCGACCGGCACAAAGGCATCATCGCTGCGATGACCCATATGGAAGAATGGAACAAACCTGGTCAAGCATATAACAGGTTTTGTCTTTGACACATCCGCAACAACTTGGTAGCTACACTCAAAAGCAAGAGAATCTAACGGTTGTATTGGGAAATGGACGAAAAGCTTTCATTAAGAAAATTTAAAGAACGTAGGCAAGATGACGAGTCTAAATTAGTATGGCCCGCGACTAAGCCGGCCCAAGTTCGGTGAAAGGTCCAACCGGCCTCTGAAAGCCTTTAGGTCGGTTCTTAATTACTTTCCTACTAAGAAAGGGTTCCATAACCTAGCTCTATAAATAGGAATCAACCCTTCACGGTTAAAGGTACGCTTTATACACCCGGTTCATACCCTTATTACAATTACTCTCTTACTGACTTAAGCATCAGAGTGTCTACCCTCGGGGGACCCCGAGACCCTCTTTTGTAGGTTTTAGGATTTTGATACCGCCATGGCCACCGGTTTAATCAACTGGAGACGTCGGTATAAATCTATGCTTCATCAAGTGGCACGCCCAGTGGGACTCGAGACTAGGGTTTTTCTTCTTCAACAAACCTTCTAGCAAGGAAGGTGGAGATTGAGATAACGAACGTCTCCTTTTGATCAAGGACAATCGAGCATAGAGACGGTCATGGTTACCTACGTGAGCTTTGTCAAATTAAGACATCGAGGTTCCAGGTTTGATATTTTTAATTAATATTAATCATGAATCCGAGTTTTCAATCCGGCACCGCATATAACGAGACAGTAAGCAGTCATGACTAAAAGACAACTCTTTTATGTCACCTTTGATTGCATGGTGTGCTTATTCGAGCACATGAGATATACAAATAATCGAGACACCCCTTCAATAAGCTTCTAGCAAAACTAATTCTTTCCAAGTTTCTGCTTGGCTTGTTCCTTTTAAATTGTCGAGAATTAACTAACCTACTACTGTACAAAAACAAGAGTCAGGTTTAGTTTCAATTCATATGCCTACGTAAACTTTGGTTGTTTAATTAATTGCTCAATGATTAGGTTACTATTTGGGTCGTATCCTACGTTTTTGGCAATGCCTTATTGGGGTCGTTCGTGGCCAATTGCTATTTGTTTTTAATCTTGGTGCGGTAAGAACTGATGACAAATTCCTTTTGTAAAATTCACCTGGGTTTTTCACTAAACTTGCATAGTATATGCTTTGATCATGATTACCAAATCATGGCACCCATGTTATTTATTTTTAGTTCATGCTAAAAAGTGCTATGTTCTTCGCTCTTCTTGCTGGCATGCATGCTTGAACCATTCTTTGAGACTTCCTACAGAATTGAGGCCATAATAATATAATTGCAATCGTGACTTATCGAATCTATATATGCCATGACAAAAACACGTATACACTCCTACCCTATGAAACTTCTTATACGTTAATGCTTGGAGTATGCTGTTTAACTATTGTCCTCCAGACCAATTGCATGGTTTGGGCATCATGTATTTCTGCATAAAGCACCACGAAAATCTCTTGCTTTTTGCTTAATCCAATATTCGCATTAATTATTTATGTATGTCCTTGGAAAAGATATTGGACCTTAAGTTAATCCCCTCTATCTCCCGGTATAAGCAGCCATTGCTTTTTCTTTATACATATACGTGAAGAATTTTAGGAGTACAATTTCCTTGACCTCGATTTAGGGATTACAATAATTCGAGAAAGACTAAAGTTTCACTAGCGACATGTACAGTTTGAGACTCCGAATACTATGTAAACATTGTGATTTAGTGATAGCAGTGTCATGGTAAATTAATGTCATTGATTTATTGCCTCTTGTGGATTCCTTTGATTCCATGCCATGGATCGTGGTTACCCGAGAATCTTATTTACATGTTACACCTATTTACAAGTGCCACATTATTTTCTTAATTCCATATTTGAGCATCATCAATATGTTCTTACCATCCATTATTTTTTACGATAAATCTTTTGAGTTTATGACTTAAGGATATTACTGCCCGCCAAGTTTGGTTCAAGAGACTACAAAGTCTCTCCTCGAACCAATTCGAGAAGCGAATCAGGCAGCAAGGACTATGAAGCCTCCAGTTACCAACAGAAATCCAAGCAGCCGCAGCCACTCGACAAGGATTCTAAATTTTCTGACAATTGTAAAACGGTCATCGGTGATTTTATTATTTATACTCTCACGCTAAAATCTTCTGAATGCGCAAAATGGCCCCTGGACCGTCAAAGGACATACTTGGGTAAAATTTTCTTCAACTAAGCAGAATTTATGATTCAATCCTTTCATATATTATTTATCATTCTTACCTCGAATGGATTTATTATTTTTCATACAAGTTCTAACCTTACAGCAAGGAGCGTAATATCTCAAAGGTCACATCTCCTCGACGGGGGACGCAGCTTCCTCGAGACTTGAGTACAAGGCTACTCGGTTGTTTCCGGCAGCACAAGCTAGAACACCCACACCTATATAATTGCACGAGGCAGAGGCTAAATGACAGATAAGTTATCCGAGCCTCCTATTACAAATAATTCCTTGTCATACATCATTGCCTTCCGAACTTATTCAGGTTGAGGGTGACAAATTTATGTCTATCATCCTTATGCATAAATACACATATTAGGTCTCCCTGAGCCTATTGTTGCTACATAATCATAGTAGTAGCATGTCGATTGTATGTTACCTGATTAGGTTTTCTTACATACTTATGAGTCAATCCCTCTTTGCCATCACATCAAGCATGAAGGTTCTTGAAAAGTATTTCAATAACATTACAAGTTGAATACCATGCACAGCTCACCAATTTCAAGTACTACTTGCCATATTCTTATATCAGAACATGATATTCGCATGCTTACTTCATTTTAAGCCGTGCACAATTCTTGTATGCTCACCAAGGGTCCAACTACTTTATTATTAGAACAACTAACGTTTTGTCCGAAGCGAACAGCAATGCAAGCATAGCTCGATTTTTCGAGGGATCGAGGGCACATATAATCGTGATCACATAGCCCTATGACAAGGGCGGAGACAATCCTCTCGACTGATTTGAAAGGAGATAAGTAACTCTAAACTTACTCGTGCCATGTTGTCATATTCCTAACTAGACTTCTATAACGAATACAATTTTGGTTATGCTCTTTAAATTACTCAGTGCCTCCCTTGAGGTAATCTAACGAAATGTTTGTAGTTACAATAAATTGCCCGAGCGTGGCGCAGTTATACTACTTAGTTTTGCAGGTCTTACAACAAGACAATTCGAGGAACATCCTTCTCGAATTACGAAGCAACCCATTCCGAGGGGCAATGACCTGCTCGAAAAGGAAGATAAATGTTATTATCTCCTTGACATTTACATGCTCTATAGCTATTATCTCCTTGCATAAATAGCATATCATAAGATATCATGTCTCAAATCGCATAGACTACAAATCATCGACTAAGTTAATCGTTAACCTATTCTCCATACATGCAATGTGTGAGTTTGCTGGTTTTTGTATCATTACATTCATGATCAACCACTACCTAGCCTTCACTCGCGTAATCATAGAATCGTGCCATCTATGCTTTCTCGAGTGGAGTTTAATTGCTATTGACGATCTAAATTCTAACCATAGCACTTTATTTTGATTGTTTCCATCTTTCTCGAAAAGCTTTTATTGTATGATCTTGAGAATAGCAACGCAAGACCTTTCATCATAAGGGCATGCTCGAGATTTGGGAAGAACTTCTTCCTTATTTTGCAGAACTCGCAGAAATATGAGAATAGAGATAGCCCCTCTATGATGCAAAGTTGTAATCAGACCACAGTAGCCTCGAACAAACAAAAGACCAATATACGGTGCACGTCAAGAATGAGCTCTGACAACAATGATGAGGAGTTCATTGACAAGTGGGTATTGCTATTCTGACCTGTGGATAGCCCTAGAAGAGTTCCAACAGATAAGTGATACGATCTCCTTATAATTGCTTCAGTATATGAACATCTGCATTATAACATGAATGTTACGATAGTTAATAAGCATGACATAATTGTTCTTGCACTCATATTATGACACATTACACATA